TCATGTGTTTTCAAGATATATATGAATTGCTTATTGAGATTTTGAGTCTTCTAATATTATTTACAATCTGAAGGCACCTGTATCATATAGATTCCCACAGAAAACACATACATCAAAATATGTAATGAAACAAAAACAGAAATGCAACAATATATAAATACAGTTTCTTGACATTTTGAAATCGCACCATCAGGTATGTGTCCTTGTGACGCTGCCGAAGAAACTGCTAATGACATGTTCTGGAAAGCCTCTCGCTTCAACAAGGAAAAAATGAATCTCATCTCCCAACTCAGAATTCGAAATGGTATCCCTCCGTACAACGTCGAAAGTTTTTTAAGAACCATGGACTCCAAATCTGTTAAAGCTATAGTTAAGTTTATTACTGAAACTGACATTTCTATTTAGTTTAGATAAGATTTTTCAAATATTTTTTCAATTTTTCATTGTTCCTGCATTTATTCATTTATTCATTGGTTATTTAATTCAGTAATCTTTTTCACTTTAATTTTTGTACTTTTCCGTCTTACCGTTTTATCTTTTAAACCTCTTAATTACAGTGTAGAATTCGAATTAAGAATAAAAGAACTGTCAACAATAAAAAAAGTCAACGTGTCAAAAAAGAGTGTCTTACTCACGCACTCGGTGCCTGCCCATAAGAGTGTCTCGCTTCGACTCGTAGCTTCTATCGGCGCAACTCCCTTGCTGATGGCTGAGGTATCGGTGGAAGCGAGAGAGCCCTTTGTTTAGAGTGAGACGTTCTTGTACGCGCTACAGGGACTTGCCTGCACCACCGAATAGCAACGAGTCAGAGGGTTTTATAAGGAATCGTCGCTAGGAATGAGAGAGACGCTCTTATACGGGAACTCCTCCGCCTCGTCACAGAATTGCCGTATCGAGCCAGAGAAAAAGGTTATCTCTTCTCCGTTAGTGACGAATATTTTGATAAATATCTTGCCACTGATAATTTTGGTTATTCAAGAGCTGTTCAAGATTACAATAGGGCGTAGTCATTGCGTGATAGTTGTAGCTAAAGAGCCAAGCGAAGCACTAATTTCAAAATGACTAAGGAAGTTGATTTAGTTGTGGTAAGTTAAATACTGTTTAATCATTTGAATTTTATGATTGAAATGATTTTGAATAAGTATTTTTTAAACGTTAAAAGATATATTTTAAGTTTAGTATCAATAACTATGAATACGTGGTACGAATTGTCCTTTTGATTGTAGATATTTATTAAAATAAAAATAAAAATTTTATTGTCAGCAAAAGCAGAAGGTGAAAATTGAAAACAATATTGTGAAAGGCAAAGAAGTGGCATTTGAAATAAGCTACACTCACCTGGGCAAGTACATCTTGGACAATATATCGGTGTCGCCCGATAAAGCTGCTCAGGTAAATTAACATATAATAATGTTACAATAATATGATGGAATATTTATGACGTAAATATAATCACAAATGAACTTTATTTCTAAAACCAGATAGATGCGGCAACCGGTAAAATCGATACGTTTGGCGACGTAAAAGATCGTTCGATCAGATGCGCTGTCTGGTTAAGGAAAGTTATTCAAGAGCTGTTCAAGATTACAATAGGGCGTAGTCATTGCGTAATAGTTCTAGCTGAAGAGCCAAGCGAAGCACTAATTTCAAAATGACTAAGGAAGTTGGTTTAGTTGTGGTAAGTTAAATGCTGTTTAATCATTTGAATTTTATGATTGAAATGATTTTGAATAAGTATTTGTTTTCTAAACGGAAAATAATCGCAGTGAAACTTTTAAAGGGAAAAGAGTCTCGTACGGAATCGGTGTAAATGGAAACGCATTATAAAGGGTGTTTTGCGTGACTGAACCGCAGCTGCGTTTATTAAATTTCAGCCAATCGCATTAACTGTTATTTATGACCGGCCAAAATCGTTCGATGCATGTCAATCACATTTAACCGATCATACAAAAATTTTATTGTCAGCAAAAGCAGAAGGTGAAAATTGAAAACAATATTGTGAAAGGCAAAGAAGTGGCATTTGAAATAAGCTACACTCACCTGGGCAAGTACATCTTGGACAATATATCGGTGTCGCCCGATAAAGCTGCTCAGGTAAATTAACATATAATAATGTTACAATAATATGATGGAATATTTATGACGTAAATATAATCACAAATGAACTTTATTTCTAAAACCAGATAGATGCGGCAACCGGTAAAATCGATACGTTTGGCGACGTAAAAGATCGTTCGATCAGATGCGCTGTCTGGTTAAGGAAAAAGGGTATCCGTCCAAATGACGTGGTTGCAATTTGTACCGATAATCATTTAGACACGTGCATACCAGTGTTCGCCGCTCTTTACCTCGGGGCACCATATTTACCCATCGATGATGCTTCGGATATACGTAAGAAATGTAGATTCGAAAATAATCATACTTAATGACAAGACAGTGAAAGAAATAGTATGAGTGAATAATCAATTCCAGTATTGCTAATCACGCGGTAAAATTCTTTTTAACTCAGTGTGCAAAATTTTACTTCGTATGACTGTTGGT